AGTAGTAGTAGTAGTAGTAGGGAGGTAGTGTAGTAGCAGTCAGGTTCATGGAACAATAGTTATCGTGACTAATACGAAACACATCAACATACATTGACACTAGAAGGATCAAGTGCTACGTAACATCTTGTGCTTCGCGGGTTTTGAGGACAGCCCTCTCGGCCATTCGGCCAGCTTCAGACGTGGCCATCGAGAACTGCCCGATGGATCATGCGGACGTTGAGGAGAAGGCCAACAATCAGGTACCCCGTGCACACCTCGAATCTTGCCCAGTTCCCTTTGCTTCTTGAACGCTTCTGCTGAATTGTCATGCGGCAGTCAGATGCGTCTGGGACTCCAGCTGCGAGCATACCTGGCACTCCGAGCTTCTGCGCAACTTCACAGGTGGCATGCTCGAGGTACTCGTCGCCAGTGGCCTTTCGCGCAGTGAAACAGCATTCTTTAGCCAGAAAGATCCGGACATGAAGGTTTCTGTCTCTCTTCTGGTACTTTCGGAGTTGCAGCTTGCACACGATTCCAGTGCTACGAACACTTACGGCAAGCACACCCGCTGCCTCTTGCAATCAAGTCGACACTCTGGGAATGTGGTTAGACAGAACTCAGGGAACCTCCATGTGCTCAGGAGTCAAGGAAACAGACCCCAGAACTATCTATACCACTATACTCACTATACATTTCCTGTCATTTCCGCCGCTAGATCTGGCATCACGACAAGCCACGGAACGGAATCAAACTAGACGGGTGGACTGCATGGTGGCTGCAAACTAACCAGTTCTCTGATCATGAACCATGCCTGCTGCTTGTGTTGTTACTTCACCCGCGACTTTGTGCTTTGTTCATTGCTGTTGGTTTTGCTCACCTTTGGTGGAAAACTGACTTTCTCGCTGCAGTTGGGAATGCACTATAGAGCGAGCTACAGTGTGTTGTATTGGTCAGTAGAACCAGTAGTCGTAGTAGTAGTAGTAGNNGTAGTAGTAGTCGTAGTACTAGTAGCAGCAGCAGCAGTAGTAGCAGCAGTAGCAGCAGTAGCCGTAGTAGCAGTAGTAGTAGTCGTCGTCGTCGTAGTCGTCGTAGTCGTAGTAGTAATAGTAGTAGCCGCAGCAGCAGCAGGGAGTGGTGGTGGTGGTGGTGGTGGTGGTGGTGGGGGTGGCGGTGGTGGTGGTGGCGGTGGCGGTGGTGGCGGTGGCTGGTGCTGGTGTTGTTGTCGTCATCGTCGTCAATGGTTGCTGTTGTTGTTGTTGCTGCTGTTGCTGCAGCTGCCGCTGCCGTATGCTGCCGCTGCCGCTGTGGCTCTTCTTGTTCGTGTTGATGTTGCTGCTGCTACTGCTGTTGGTTGTTGATGATGCTTTGACATCACCGGTTGGTGTCATGCACAGGCAGCTAGCGTCTCGTAACTGTGTAGAACTCATTCTGGTCGTCGCTGCGACGCACACACGAAAGGCAGTAGGACAAGCAACAGCAGTCTGAATTAGACAATAATGATGGATGGAACATGTTTTTATCTAGCTAACGGTGTGAGAAGAGACAACGAAGACTGATTCAACCATCACTCTTGAGCTCTAGCTCCGCAAACAATTCCTGCGAGTCCTGGGTCAAACACAATGCCAGTGCAAACGACTCAGGATCTGCTTTCGTGAAAGGTCTTGGGTTGGGGCCCAGCATCGTCGTCTCCACATCGGCATGTTCGGGTTGCAGTCCTCGAAGACGACTCCCTGAACCAGGCAATATGATCTCTGCTTATGTGTCTGTATATGAGATACTCTTTGGTTATCATTAACTGTCATACAAAAGCTGACAGGATCTGTGTGATGAGCAGTCTTGCAGATATGGCGTCATAGCACGGATAGTTGGAACTTCGGTCTGACAGCGGCCGGGCCTCGTAGAGGCTCGTCTCGAAAATACTCATTGCCCACATGATCGGTGACATGTAGTAGAACGGCCTCGCTCGTGGCTACCAGGCTACCACTTGACGATTTTGCCTATGTGGTCGTGAACATGACTGAGTATCCGGAACATCCTCAGGGATCGGCAGCCAGACTCTGGGTATCTGGTCAAAAGGAATGACATATCCTGCAGTCGCAGCAAACAGTGCAAGAAGCCTGCCAAGTCTCTTGCGCTGTGTGAACCCACATGACTCATCACGCATGGCGTCCTGAAAATAGCGTAGCAGGAATGATGAGCGGCATCAGAACCTTGCGTCTCGACGGCTAGCCGTCTCGACAGTGGCAGTTAAGCCTGAACAGCCCTGCGGACACGATTCTTCCACTACCGCTGGATGACAAAAACGGTTCATCGTCCAATGTAGCATGTACGACGACATACGATCGATTGAATTGTTGAAGGAGACGGACGAAAGTGGTTGTAGAACGCGAGGCCGGCACTGCTCGATTGCCGTCTGCGTCGCGCGTTTTGGCTCCCACCTGATGAGGTCACGCATGGAGCCCACTCAATGGGTGCAGTTGCCGATGCTGTGCTGAGGACTGGGGACCTGGCTGCAGAGCCAGCCACGCAAGCGAAAAGCAGCACCTCGGCCAAGCTATCGCACATGCAGCCTTTTCGCAAGAAAATGGCAGCAAATGCAGCAACATCCAAAATGGCGCGAGCACCCAGCACAGACTTCTCTGTGAGCGTTGATCTGCTTTGACTGCTGAGACTTAGGACCGAACGAGGAAGGTTGTCAGCACAAACACCTCGTATGCAAAGGAGCTGTCTGTCTAACTTCCACCTCACGAGCCTACATTATGTACAATGGAAGGCAGCGGTTGCAATGGCCCATAGATGCTGGGTTGCTCAGGACACAGTGTCTACACTGCCTGCTTGCAGCTTTGGGACACCGAAGCGGTACGCATCCAGCGGTAGCCCAATGAGCCTGAAGCGCAACTTTGACAAACTCTTCGTCCGAGGTCTTCTCTCCTCTTCCCTTGAGCAGCGGCAGCATTCACGTTCCCAGCATGCGGATGAAGGCCAAACAAAGGCAACATGCTGTCCCTTCATGGATGTCCACTGTCAGAAGTCTTGCTGGGAGCAGTGCAAGTACAGCGGCGTCGCCCATGCCTTAGTTCCAGTACGAGGGGGCCACAGCTTCCCAGAAACCGCTGTGGTGAACATTTTCAAGTGTTTGCCTTCAATCAACAATGCTCCTGGTTCACCCGACAACTGAGCTGCCCGTGGCCCCACAGTGCTTCACGACTTGCCACCATCTGCCAGCACATGTGTGAGGCAGGTTCTGTGCTGACACGCTCTTTGCTGCTAGGTTGCGAGAGTCCATGGAACCTGCATGGCGAGAAAGCCGGTGTAGTAGGCCCTGAGACGGTGCATCGATACTTGGAAGCCTACGAACAACACTGGTTGATCACACTTGCAGATGGCTTCGTGCTGAGTCTGCGGCATGTAGTATGGAAGGACCTGCTACACCAGCAGCGTTCGTGAATATGTGTGGAATGCACACAAGCACACACACACACACACGCACGCACAAACACAAACACACTCACACATACATACATACATACATACATACATACATACATACATACATACATACATATACATACATACATACATACATACATACAAACATGACATATATACATATATACATACATACATACATACATACATACATACATACACACATACATACACACATACACATACACGCGGGATGGCTAATTGGGTGCTGACTGCGAGCATGCAAAACCGCTTGCTGCTAGGTCTAATGTTTCTTTGGACGAATCATCCTTTCCCTGCTGACCGAAGCTGGTTGGCCTGGAGCCTTAGAGCTTATCGTACTAGTTGACTTGCGGATGTATTCTGTGTTGACAGTGCAACGATACGGGATGTTGACTTGATGCTTTAAATCATTCAAGCTTGCACGTGGCTATTCGGATGTGTCGTCGAAGCCGGCCTGGTAGACTCCATCGTAGTACTCACCTCAGCGAGCTATCAAAACGTGTCACTTGTCAGTTCTGAAACTTGCGCCTTCGGCCTGAACGTGGAATTTCCTAAGCCTTTCAGACATGCCATGAGACGTCGTCGAACATCTCCGTTCCTTGATCCAAGGCACGCTTGAGAAGTCCTTTGGTCTGCTGGAAAGTTGCCGCACCTTTCGGTCGCGCATGTCTGCTGGGTCATATGAGGCAGTTACAGATTGCAAAGTCTTAGCTCGGCATGCGCGAGATTAGTCTCAGCCATAGATCTACCCTGAACATCCCTGCGCAAACACTCAACTGAAAAACCGGACGGCACCCACGGGCCTGCGTAGAAGGACTCAATCAAAGGGTTCTGCCTTAGAGCGTGTGTGCGAAAGCGGACCACTATATCCTCGCTGCTCGAGCCTGCCTGAAGTGTGTCATGTGTGCTCCCGCAACTCGTTGAGGAATGGTTCTGATGATACATTGTACATTGAGGGATGGTATGAAAGGGCTATATTTGCAAGCAACCCATGGCTGCAAGAGGATCTCCCTTGCACACTGATGCTGTAGATCCTTTTGCTCTCGCTCGTTGCCACAGACAGGCGCCTGAGTTCGCACTTCCCTCGCTCGCAGCTCACCTTAGCTGTTGTATTTGTGGTCCGAGGAAATTAGCCTCCATTTCCAGCGGTCATCGTCTCAGCACAACATGGCAATCGTGGAAAGGCAGTTCCGCTGGCTTCCTCTCTCATGGTCGCATGGACCCGAGTGCGACATCTTGTAAGAATGAACCACGGTCATAAGGCTCCCCTCCCGCCTGTCCCAACAGGTACTCGTGTCTTCGACAATTGCGAAAGCCCTTCGACCATTACAGAAGTCGATGCTATCCTCGTCGAAATCATTGAAGTCATGTGTTTCGGCAAACGGGCGTGTTTGACAGAGCGGTCACCAGCGCATACCAGCGTAAGGCTACGCGGAAGTGCATGTCAGCGGGATTCCGAGCGCCCTCGTCAAAGCCACGAGGCGTGTGGCTGGATGCTCGCTTCCTCGGATCATCTCTGAACCTGAACCGAGGATGAAAGTAGGGGAAAGCTGGAGCTCCTGGTATCGGTCGGAGAAGATACAGAAGCGTCTCGAAAGCCAGGAGACAACGCAGCGCCCTTTGAAGCCAGCGATGCGAGGCAGCAATCTTGCCTGCCGGCATCGTTTGCATCAAGCCCTGACCCAAAAACCTCAGCCTTGAGCCCTTCAGCCACAGGGCCTCGATAGTCTTCCAAAGCTGCAGCAGCCTCGTACGCCAAGAGCCGGCTGCTCTGATCATGCAAACCTTCTTCGTCCTTAGGGCGCTTCAGGTTTAGGGCTTGAATCGGTAAAAGCGCTCTCCTCGCTCTGACGGGTACGTAGGGTTGAGCACACGGACAGAGGGAAAGCTACAGCAACATGAGTCCCCGCGTCATAGAGATCCAGCAGCTGCCTCACCCGTCTCAGCAAAGTGCGTGTCGAAACCTCGCAACGCATTGTGCCGGATTCAAAACAGTGGAGATAGGGAAGCTCCTCCTCCTGCCCCGGCTCCACATGGTCCAGAACATCGGAGAGACAAGCCATTTCACTGCGCCTGAGCACGGTGAGAACTCAACCGAAGCCTAAGGAGTGGTGCGCCAAGTCCCTGTTGATTGACAAAGCATTCTCTAACCGAGGTACCGGGAGTCACTTTCGTCATCAGCACCACGAGCACAAACCTGTCTTTGGGACGTGTACTGCTGTGTACACCTGCGACTTTGGAAGCAGAGGCGCTCAAGTACTCACCGGACTGTGACCAATGTGCCAATTCATCCCTACCTCGCAAGCACAGTCAAAGCCGAACATCTTCTTCAGCAAATACTGGCGATAGCCTGGGCTTGTTAAACTTAGAGAGCACGTCATAGCTGGCCGTGTATGGGGCCATGTAATGCTATCGCCACTTCCCCCTTTACCCCCGCTCCCAGTCGTCCCCAACCACCCAACCGAGTTTGTGTTTCCGATTTTTGGTAGGGGTCACCTCCGTTTTCCGCCCTCCGCTCTTCCTCCCTCCCCCCTCCCTACTACAAAGTCTTCTTTTCTTGCCTTGCAGATACATTTCTTCATCGCTCCCTTCTTGACGCCTCTCTTCTTGTGAAGTTGTGTTTTTACTTTTCTTATGTCCGCATATCCCTTCTCCCCGCCTTTTTGACAAGTGCGGTCTGCAAACCCCTCTCCCCCCCACCCCGCGTCTGTCTCCTCCCTCAAACCGCTGCGGACACCGTACCCAAGGCGGCACTCGCACTGGCGCTTGAATTAACTGCATACCCAGCATCTCATCGCACCTCGGATGTCGATGTAGCGGACCTAGATGCGTCATGTCGCTCTTCCATGTAACCAGGTTCGTGCCAAGCATGCGCGTGCTGAGCTAGCCTTGCTTGGATCATCATCTCAACTAATGCGTCATCCGTTAAGAGCGGCAAGAACAGCAGCCAACTGAACAATGAGTTTTCCGTACCCATACGCAACATCACGCAACCGGGAATGTCCGGTCAGCGATATCTGCGAGTGTAGCTACTTGCATTGGGATGGCAGAGCAAGACATTAGATTTTCAACGTTCATCCCAGTCGCACACAGCTCCTGAGCTGCCGGGATGTTTGTGCATGAACGGACTTCCATGCGGAGGGTCTCCTGCAGGAATAGCAGAGCATGAGAAGCCTCAAGGCAGCGCTGAATTAGCATGTCGCAAAAACAACCTAACAAAAATGCCTGACCGAGACTCCACAAGCAAGGGACGTGGCAACTCACATTGAGGGAGAAGAGGTTAAGGGAATGTTGGGTTCTCAATGTGGCAGCTTGCCTGGTTCCAGACCTGCTCGCAATTCGCATTGCAAGAGTGGTTGAACCGACTTGCCATTTCGCACCTTGCAAAGGATAGACAGGCACATAGGAAAGCTCTCCACCAAAATGGAAGAAGTGCCTTCATCACGCATCAGCCATCACTCGAAACAGAAACAACCGACACGCAGCCAGGCCGAGTCACAGAAGGACATCATCAGATTCATCTGCAGAGAAGAGGTTGGTCCTGTGCGGAGCGTCAAAGTTCTACGCCTCCGTTGCTTGGGGTTTGTTTGGGCCAGGGTCGGGACCTCAGGATTCCGAGCAAAGTTTTCGGGCCCTCGGAGAAGGTGTCCGCCAAATAGAAGATCCGCCGTTGGACATCTTCTTTCGACCTGTCACAGTGGTCGCTACACAAGTTGGATCGTTACACTGGTCGTGAATTGCCCAAGCCTCACAGAAATAAACGCGACGGCACCAGTAGAGGTAACTTCACATTGCGTCAATCGTGCCGTTGTCTAGACATCATGTCGTGGTAGGTTCTGAATCTTCCAGGGTTTCTATTACATCACAAGGACACTGGCCGGTGCCTCTGGAACTGCTCCTCGGCTTCATCGTACCAAGAAGAGTCGCGCCCGTTCACCGTCAGTCTCATGAGTGGCTTCTCGCACCTCGGAGCACCGCAACAGCTCTAGTCGCAAGTAATTAGAAGAAGAAGTCGAAGATACTTGTGGGTTCAACACGTGCACAAGCCATTCCAACCCCCACACCGCCTCTGCACCACCTCCACCCCTCCTTCTCTGCTGTGTGAAAGTTTCCTTGCGCCGGCAAGCTTCCCAGGGGCGGGAGCCTGCTTGACGGCAGGAGCTCTTATTTTCTCACGAAATTGTTTGTGCAGACCTCCGCCGAGTTCGAAACCTTCGAACGGCCTGGAGACTGAAACACAAGGAAAGCAACCCGAAATCTAGGAAACCCTATACAACCTTGAGAAACCCTTATCGAAAGCCATGCTTTCTTTGCAACCATTTTGGCTATAGTTTAGCATGTCCCGAAGCTGTTGCCAGGCTGACATACCCAGCGATCTGCTTATCCAGCCATCTCTGTGTTTATCTGTTGCTGCGAATCTGCACGCTGGTCCCCAGAACCGGGTTACAATGAGCAGCATTCAGCAGCAATGCCACGAGGCTTAGCCATGTTCCTGCGCAGCGTTCAATATCGGTGCCATTGCTAGCTTTAGCATGTGACACGGCTTAGCATGTTGGTGTTTCTGTCTTGTCGGTGTGGTCCCTGAGCTGCTTCTAGTGTTTGGCATGGTTGCTGCGCAATGCTCAGTCCGGCACGAGAGAACCTCCCCAGGACGAATGTCCTGCACTGATGCCGCTGAGACTTCGCAAATCTAGCCATGCAGATCTCTTGCCCTGACTCGTCCCATGCACATCCTACATGTTGAAGCCCCAAAGCCTAAGTTTAGGTTTCGATGATCTTCGATGTCCTGTGTGGCTAGGACGCCTTGGCCCTTGGTTCCGCAGTCCACGACTTCTGCCGCCGGTCGGAGGCCGCGACAGAGAATGAGGCTCCTGGTGGTTGACGTGGCATGCACAGACCAACTCTGGTGTGATTAGACCGCAGTCTCTGCTGCTTGCATGTCCGCCACGCTCAGACAGATGCCCTACTAGCTTGTTGTCCTTGTCTTACGAAGGCCGCTGATGCTTGAACGAAGCACAAGCGCCACCACAGCTGACCGTGCAGCGCTGCAAAACACAGCGGGCTTAGGGATGTGAAGCTGGGATGATTCCGCTCGTGGGCGCAGCCACCCACGCGGAAAGGCCCGGCAGTAGGGGCGTGGATGCCATGGACACTGCACAAACATGAATTCTCAAGATCTACGCTGCCCGCACATAAAGCCAGCAAACTGTGCTCTTCCGTTCGCTTGTGACGTAGAATGACTATCGGCTACCAAATGTAATGTATATTCCTGAAAGACATACTGAAGACTGGGCAGCAGCTCGTAGCCTCTCCAAGCATGACAGCTGTGGCGGCATCGCTTCACTCACAGCTGTCAGAAGCTATGGCTTGGATTCTTGGTACCCGACGCGCAGAGGAACATCACGCCCTTGATAGGGAAGATGTTCTTCTGGGTGAACTCCTGCTGAGCATTTATGCGCGTTGAACTACGTGTGCAAAACTCTCAACATAAAGTTCAATGATGTTCAATGTCAAGCCTGTAGCTTGCAAGTCCGGCTGTGAGCAACAAAGACATGGACTTAAAGTTTACCGGATGCGTCAGGATCCAGCGCACATCCGCAAAGGATCTGGAGCAGTACGGCTCTTGATGGTTGAAACTTGATGCAGCCACACTCTATCGGTCCCAGGGCCCTCCGGGCTGGGTGCCCGCGCAGCTCCCATCTGGTAGAAGATGCAGCCGATCATGATAGATGGAGGCACCCGAGACATGATCTTGGCAGCGGACTGGGTTTTTCTCACTGAAAGGTTTAGTTTATCGCGTTCCAATCTCTGCAGACGTGCTTGGCTTAGCACTCACGCACATGGAGCCAGCCCGTCACACAAGAGCTAGCAAACAGCTGCCGAGATGTGGACTCCGCGGAAGAACCTCAAGTTCACAAGTCTGAAGGCTTGGAGACTTTTGATGCGGCTGGCTCAAAACGAGAAACACGCGAGAAGATGCTTTGGCACGAAGCACAGTGGCTCGAATTCAAGCTGTCTCCTCAGCAGCCTGTCCGACCTCTTCCCACGGGGGAGTGGCGTCAAACTGAGCATCGAGCTTCTTCTTGTTTTTGAAGTTTTCCAGTAGTGTGCGCCTGGTCCTAGGTCCAAGCAACAGGCTCGAGATAAAGCAAGGTGTGGGCCGCAGGAAAGATCGTGAAACTCACTGCTGCCGCTGACTGCAAAGGAGGCCCCTGCAGAATGCACGTTTGCTGCCACATGCTCGGCATATCGGCAGCCTCAGTTCTTCGGTTTGTCTGCCGATGTATAGCGCTACTCGTACTCTGGCTGGAAGGGAGCTGTGCTGGCTGCACTAGGGTGGCCACAGGTCATTCGGGCACTGTCGGATACTTAGACTACTAAGGTGCAAGATGCAAGACACAAGAGTTTGGGCTGCGGGCCTTCCCTGGCAAGCTGTCTGTTGCGGAAATTGGCTTCTGCGCCGGGGCTGCCTCTTCCATTCAGGTCGAACAAGTGGGGGCTACGGATTCATGATCTGTGCAGGTGCATATTGGCTCGAAGTCGATCGACCGTGCATTCAAGCAGTCGCTCATGGCATCAAGATTTTTGACGGAAGAGCACCTTCTGCCAGGTCTCGATCCACTTGCTGCTCTCATCCTCGAAAGCATCGAAATGCTGCTCCAATGGCCACGACAAGCGCAGCAGTCCAGATGTGAAGGCTTCAAGCATCAAGGCACTGCACACACACACACATACACACGCACCTTTCAGGGTTGTTGTGGTGCTAGCTCTCATCTTCCGATTGATCGCATTGCATCCGCCGCCACGTGCTGGAGTACTTTGTCAAGCGGCACATAAAAGCAAACCTCTGCAGTAGCATCCCGCTGGCCTGTACAATTTGCACGAAGTGATGCGCTGGATTTGTCTTCTCGGGCCTTGTTCGATGTCTGCGCTGGTAGGAACTAGTTGAAGGTGCGGATGGTGAGCTCCAGAATCGGCACTTCGCTCTGGGGGACCGACGTCGGAGCTCCGTGCTTCGCGAAATATTCCTCCGCCTTGGCAACCTTGTAAGGATTCCCCTCAGAGCCCTGTGCTGCTCTTGCTCACCTCTGCTTCACGGAAACATGAAGACAGGCTTCGACAGGGACAAGCTCCGATTCCAAAAGACCGCACGGCCACGGCTTGCCTCGCCACTGTAGACCACGACCCCCACCTGCAGAGCACAGGATCGAAAGCCCTCCATCTTCGGCCAGCGATGGATGGCGATGGTCTGACGCAGACGATACATGGACCTGGCATTGCAACCGACACTGGCCACAAGTTGAAAACTCGCCTCCAGAAGCAGCAGGTAGTCGAACTCGCTGAAGATCGCATACGACGGTCTGGTCAGTCGGCGCGGACTTTTACACAAAGGGTCACAAGGACGATATGCCATATTTAAACAGTTTCAAGCAGTTCGAAAAACAGATGCTAGCTACTCGCGGCAGGGATAAACAAGGGCGAAGGATTGGAGCAAGTCAGCACAACATGGCTGATCGCAGTGCATGGGGCGCAGACCTTAAAGGCCTTAGGCCTGAACTCCGAGTATCTTGGCTCGCTGCTGGTGGATGGCAGCCAAGACCGTCACTCCGCGGCCTTGCTGGTGGCTTTCGGCTGCCAGCACCACAGAGAAAGGCCGCCGGATGATGATGACGATGATGATACTTCATATGTCATAGATGCAGACCCAAACCTAGCTTTCACTTTGCTGTCGTCAGCGACTTACAATTCGGTCAGAGCTCAATTTGCACACACGTTACCATCTCACTACTGCAGATCTGCAGAGACGCCAAACGCAATAAACGGGGTTGCTCGACTCCCAACCAAGAATAACGTCCCCGCCGGCCACGACAATATACGACAATGCTGAAGAGGCGTCTTAGATCGTGTCAGTATCGTCGAAACCCTTCGAGTGTCTTTCAATCTCTGTTGCCAAAGACTTCTTGCTCGAAAAGCAACCCGAATTTCTGAAAGGAAGTCAAGGAAAGCAAAGTCTCGAAAACTGAGCATCCTGCCAGCCAAAGCCTTCATGAGGGCCTCAAGACAGATGCTGTCAACAGAACTCGGAACCCACTCTGTTTCGCTGCACTTGCTCTGGCAAGGATCTTTTGCGGCACAATACTCACCAGGGTCATGGCGACAATGTTGGTGGCTGCGGCGGAGTCGAGGCCACTTGTGGGCTCGTCGCAAAGCAGGACCTGCAGATCGAAGGGTGTCGCGAAGGTCTTTTTGCGATGCACGAAGACCCCTTTGATCACACCTCGGGCAAGCCGCCGATGATTGCTAGGCCTCAGACAGCTGGACACAGCAAACGCAAGGAACATGCTCAATCACGCCTCATGTCGACAGGGCGTCTCGTCTCGACGAGAAATTTCAAACTGATTTCAAAGCCCAGCTGCCCACGCTCAAGCGCCGACGCTCGCCCCCTGCCGCTAAGTGAGGGCTTCGGTCCGACAGACAGTGTCCGCGCTGGTTTCGCTCGACTCTAGTAAAGGCTGACTGGAAGACGTGGAAAGATTGAAGACTAAAGACCTGCATTGTGACTCTGCCAGATAGGCTCGGAAAGTGGATAACTTGCGAGCATACTCTGCGACGGTGGCAGACGCAGGCACCGTCTTCAGTCAAGCAAGACTGCCAACGTTTGCCTGCCTGAAATTCCTCGCAGCCCCATCTTTTCATCTCCGATAGCCTCGACGCAGCTCAGGAACCGACTCGCATAAAACCGCTGTGTGACAAGTGATGTTTCCGACAGTTGCTGGGCACTCTGCTGTATCGGCACACTTCTCGATGTTGAGAAGCTTAATCACCTCCTCGACACGCTTGGCTCTCGCCTGCCATAGATAGCGACAAACAACAAGCGTCGTCACAAAAATGCTGGCTCGACAAGCACATATGTACATGTTTTAAACTTCCATTCGATCATGTTGCCGAAGCCTCGGGGCCCCAGGTGGTGGGCAGGCGCAGCTCGGCTGCAAAGCCCAAGCTGGCAGGTGAAGCTTGATGCGACTGAATGCAACTGGCCGCTCACCGCTTCACTGAGGGCAAGCGGCTTCAATAGTTCGACCACCCCATTTTTAGGCGCGGACGTCTCCCTCGGGGTCAAAGCTGCGAGAAACACGTCCTCCTGTGGGACCGCCTCAGTGCAAGAAGGCTCCAGGTGTGGCGAAGTCCATCTCTCAAGCTGCATGACCTTCTGCTGCTCATGCAGGCAAACCACTTCGAAAGCCTGCATCCCAAGAGAAACAGCTGCACTCTGCAGCAAAGACCTGACATGAGCCTCTTGTTGCCGAACAATCTTGCAACTGCACCGACGACATCGTGCTGTAGCACTGTCTGAAGATCCGGGGCAGCAGCACTTGCCAAGTGGCGCATGGTGTCCATCTTGACCGGATGGCCATCGCAAAGAACCTGACAGGATGCTGGCCAGATCAGGATTGACCGGGGCATTGTTGTTTGTGAGATCTACGGTGCAGAACTTGGTGACAACTTGAATTGCACAGCATGTTCTTTCGTGCAGCCTCACTTACCCGACATGTTGATGGGTCGAAGCCTACTACGCACCACCCGGATGCACCCACCTGTCCGCACATCTCGGAGTCAGTAGCTTGAAGGCCACGAATGGCGGTCAGCACGGACCTGGAAGATCGCCCTACAGATCTGTCTGCTGGAATCACTTCTCCAACACTATGACACCTGTAGAACCTATAGTAGCAGAATCAGCACGTTCACGTATCGCATCATACGCGGTTTTGCCATGACTCTGCGTGGGCCAACAACGCAAGGGAAGGCTGTGTCTGTTGGGATCATACGTCCGGTCCCTCACCCTGAGACGTGAACTGCCGCTGGAAGTGCAATCCACCGAGGTGGGGGCGTCTTGCCCGAACCACTTGCACCCATGATCGCGGACAGCCTGCACCACTTGAGGCACCCATCTGGTGCGAGTTGTGACTTGTGATTTCATTCCGGGTTTGACTGCACAGACTCTACACCTTCGCAGAAGCCCTCACCGTGCCTTCCCGGCGGGAACTCGCAGGTCACATTCGACAGGATCTGAAGCAGGAAGTCATGATTTCTTCGAACCGTCTCACCGTCTCTGCACCACAAGGTCAACCACCACTGTCAAGGGGGTCGACCTTTCGTGGGCCGTCGCCTTTCTTGGCGCCCTTCACCTGGTCTGATAGGTGTGCTTCTCGAGACTTGAATGCTTGAATGAGGAAAGGACCTGGACCTCACACCAGACAGAGGTAGCTTGAGATTCCCAATCTACCAGTGGAGCAAGCAAAGCATGGCCCAATGTCTAAGCCAGTGACCGTCTACCGATCTTGTTACTGCTGCCGTTGGAGTTAAGTACTACATATGCATTTCTCAATTCAGCAAGCCTGACAGTACTCGAGCAGTCGCAGCAGCAATAGCAGAGCACATTCTCGTGCCGTGCAGATGATCGAGCTTCCGGCAACAAGGCTCAGATCCTCAACTCGGATCTCACCCGGGTGCCGGGTGGCCTCGCGGCTTCACGGTTGCAGGGAGCGCTCTGACACAACAGCCGATGTGCCTGTCGTGCTGCGCTTTGTGCACGGCTTGCTGCACCGGAAAGCTCAAATGCACGGCGAATATACCAGGACATGAAGCAGCATGATGGAGCAGCAGCTTAGCAGCGGCAGCAGTGGTGGCGGTGGTGGTGGTGGTGGAGGGAGTGGCCTGGGTGGTGGCGGGGGCGGCGTCGGTGGTGGTGGCGGTGTCAGTGATGCTGGTGGGACCCCGCAGGCGTAGAAGCAGTAGTAATAGTCGTCGTCGTCGTCGTCGTCGTCGTCGTCGCCTTGCAAACGTCGTCGACGGCGGTAGTCGCGGTAGTGGCAGCAATTGAAGGAGCAGCAGCACTGCGAAGCAATTGATCGTGATCTGCGAAGTTCTGGGAATGTCAATGTCTAATACTCTCTGCTTGGATCCGGTGGCGTGCCACACGCAGCGATTTCACAGCAACGGTGCAACCGGGAGAAGGGTGGGTCCGCTTGGGAAGATGGTGTTGAACAGCGAGCCAGAAAGATACAGGAGGGAGGGAGGGAGAGAGAGAGAGAGAGAGAGAGAGAGCGCGAGCCCAGAGATGTCAAAACAGAGCAAGCCAATGGGAGTGGGCTCCTCAGGTTTGTCGGTTCGTTTCTACGTGATACCAGCTATCCATGGCTGATGAGTTCAATGGCAGTTCATGCACTGAAGTCTGCTGCCGTACAGATACATCAACTGTGCTGATTGAGCAGGGTCTTCCAACTCTTGGAAGATGTGATGCTTCTGATCATGGCTTCAATAGTTGGAAGGATGTGCTGCAGCCTCGATGTCCCCGCTCAGCGCAGCCAGAGGCGAAGCAGCTGAGGGATCCATCCTTGAGCAATCGTGCATCTGAACATGGAAATCGGAATGAACTTACTGTGGGGCACAGACACTTGACTTCAATTGCGGAGTTCAATGCGAGCATCAAGCTCCTTTACCCAGCACTACCATCAACGTGAACTTTCCGTTCCCGGCCGCACTAGAGCTGCGAAACATCTGCGCGTTTGTGCAAGCTGTAAAGATCGCTTCGAATTTTCTTAATTAATTGACATGGTCATTCCTTCATGAAAATCTCAATCGTCGTGATGACGGGTGCTTACTAAAGTGGGCAGGTAAGTACCTCCATACCTCTATGTCGAATTGCCAGTGCCTAAATCGGGGCCGCACATACAACATCACACAACACTGATTGTATTGCAATATATCGGCAGCAGCAGCTTTTCTGCAGGTACACGGGCGCGAGAATCTATTGATTCGCTGAACTGTAGGCTGTCCCATCTGTCGATTGTCCCTCTCCTTCGAACCATCACCACTCAGCCAGCACGCCCCAGCACCCGAACTGTGAAGGACTTGACGTTCGGCCAATGCCCGAATATATCCAACAGAACATTCACCCTGCTGCGGAATTAGCTGGGACAAATCGATGGGGATTGCGGAATGAGTACAAGTAGGCGACTACCAACTGCGTGTCAACTATATTTCCCAAGTCCAGCATGTCACCTGATGTGTTGCAAGTGCTCCTCACAATCAATGGATTCATTCCGGGGACCTTACGCCGCAGCCATGGCGGCGTTCGTTGTCAGTTGACTTGTTCCGGGAACAGGTACAAATTTCCGGTGGCAGCTCCTCTCTGTCTTACAGCAGACAGGATCATCCTCTCTTGCTTACAGCAGACCGGATGCAAACATGGTTTGGCTGACCTTCGTTCATAAGGTTGCCCAAAATTGCTGTTTCCCCCGCTGGTTCAGCTCGTGCTCTGCATCAAGATGCTGTATGAGCCGTATGAGCCATATGCTGCAATGACTGGCACTGGCATAGTTTCGCAGCCGGCGTTGTCTCCGTGGGTGTTCTGTGGATGTGCCCCACTATTGCAGCCATGGCCTGCCCAGGCTCGACCGGGCAGATGCGCATTCCTCCGCCCGGCCGCCCATCGGACGGCGTGGCGCCTGCGAAAGGGGCACCGACCACATGGACTGCTGACATTAGCTTGGAGAAGCGGCGTCTGAGCCCAACCGAATACATAATTCCAGAGATGGTCTGCAGACCATCTAAAGCTGAACTCGCTTCCACGCCATCTTTTTGGCTGCAGCGTGTCGGCTTTCGTCACTTTGCAGCATGCGTCAGTGATGGCTCTGTACACGCAGCCATGGGCGTAGGGCTTGGGGTCTACACGAGAGCAGCCGCGCTCTGGCTTGTGGCTCCAGCAGATCCATAGTTAGTACTTGAAGCTTTGCGCACTGCTGACATCTGCTGGCCGACATGCTAAAGCGAAAGCTGTGCACCGCAGCATTCACAGGGCCGCATGCGGCCTTGGCAACAAGTGACGTCGAACCCCGCTAGTGCACCGGTTTCCTTCTCTTTGCCTCAGCCTGTTCCACATCATGCAGCTCTCGAAGCCTGGTATCTGCACAACTCATCGGCAACGGTGTGCGTTGGCCACGCTCTGAGGCAAAAGCCAGGACTGAGCCAAAGCGCGGACCTGCCTGTCCAAAGCAAGGTTTCTGGAGGGCATGCAGTGAGGAGATCCCAGGGGCCTTCGCATTTCCTTCCACTCCTTGACAACGAAGGCTTCACACGAGACTTTCTAACTGCTCGCTCTGCACTGAAGGAACCTCCTTTCGACAGAAGCTTCAAACGACAACATCCACAAGAGTGCGGAAGAGTGCTGAATCTGCGAAAAGCTCGACACACTATATCAAGGACTACAACCGTGTCTGCACCTCCGTTGCTTGAAGGTCTACGCTGCCGCTCTGTCAGGCGACTTCGGATACGAAATGTTCCGAGGGCCAGGCGGAGCGCTTCTGCCTCTGTATCGAGCCGTGAACCTCGGCACTCAAAGAGGGGTCTGGGATCTTGGGATGTTAGGATGTTATTAGGGAAGCCCCAATCAGCTGTGGGTCTGGGTGCCAAGCAAAGCCAGCAGCCAAAACAGAGCCGCAAGCAATGATGAAAGCAGCCGCCCGTCGTGCGGCAGTAGGTGGCAGCTGGCCGTCACGTACCTGACGACTCGTTTGGTGCAAGGAGCACTCAAAATCCACCAATCCACACGGTACCCGAGTTCCGAACCGCCTGATGTAGTCTTGACAGCGCATCAATCAAGCGTCGCGCAAACCTCATGTCACAGCGGTTGGCTCATGCAAGGTGGAATCATAGTGTTTGAAAGACGTGCCCCCCCCCCACCCCCGCCGCCCCCCGCGTCTCTTGGGGCCGAGCTGGTAAAAACGATCGCCGTAGAAGAAGACAGAGTCCTGCACAAAGTCACACCAAAAGCAAAGACCAAGGTGTGAGAGCAGGATTTCCCCCGCCCGTCCAGGAACCAAGCATTGGTCTCCCTGATCTCTTCGATCCTGTTGCTAGAGTCCTGAAGGAAAGGCACACAGCACACGACTGTGACTGTGACGACGCTGGAACCCTGCCACGCCGCACTGTGCTGTCATACGATGGTTGTAATTGTGGAAGAGCAGGTGATGCTCCTCTAATTGAGCTTTGCTAGCCCTGCCCCCCCCGAGATGCGACGGTGGTTATGAGTGATTTACGAAAACTGGCCGACTGACTTTCCGCCTTTCTTAAACGGGCGTGTCTTCCCTGCAGCAAAGTGACTGTTGGCTGTTCCGGCATCTTCGGCACGAAGAACTCCGACTCTAGTTGCCGGTTTCCCTGCCTGATGAGCAAAAGTACAACCCCTCGAAACGGTAACGGCAACAAGAGCAGCAACAGCCGCGACAACAACCACCACCCCCACCAAAACTCGCAATCACAGCCTCGCCAACACCCACGGCCAGAAAACAACCACAACGAGGACGCAAACCAAGACGACCGCGATTGTCCAGTCTGAAGGCTATCTTCATGCTATCTTCAGCCTTTGTTGGCTGCTCCTGCCAATTGGCAAAGAAGACGATGATGAACACAAATGAAGATTGCGATGGCATTGCTGTGTTGCTTTCGCTGCTTCTTCCTGCTATGATACTCACTGCTCTTGCTGGTGGTGTTGTCGTTGTTGTTGTATTGTGGCTGCGGTTGTTGTTGTTGTTGCTGCTGCTGTCGTTGCTGCCGTCGTTGTTAGTGGTGTTATCCTTGTTGCTCTGGTCGTGTCGTGAGGGGACGGTCGTCGTAGTGCCACTGCTGCTGTTGCAAGTTTCAGCTGGCTACAGCTGGCTAAATGTTGCTCTTCTTGATGCAGTGGTCGTTGGTGCAGTTGCCGCAGTCGATCTGCGGTGCACCACCACCACCACCACCACGACTGCTGCTACACCTGCTGCTGCTACTACTACATCTACTACCACTACAAATTACTGCTACGACTACTACCTCTCCTAGTGCTGCTACTACCACTGTCACCACCACCGCCCCTACGACGACACGAAGACGACGACGACGACGACGACTACTACTACTGCTGCAACTGCTACTCCTGCTGCTGCTGCTGCTGCTCTGCTGCTGCTGCTCTGCTGCTGCTGCTGCTGCTGCTGCTGCTGCTGCTGCTGCTACTCCTACCACCACCACCACCACCACGACGACGACTGCTACATCCTACGTCCTACGTCCTACGTCCTACGTCCTCCTACTACTACTACTACTACTACTACTACTACTGCTACTGCTGCTACTGCTACTCCTACTCCTACTACTACTACTACTACTACTACTGCTACTACTACTACTTGTGAGCATGCATACATGATGTTGCATGCCCGTCTCTGCAGTGCTGCTTGTAGTTGTGTAGT